ACATCACCCCAGTATATATTAGGTTGGTGCAAAAGTAATTGTGGTTTTTGTCATTATTTTTAATGCCAAAAACTGCGCTTACTTTTGCACCAACATAATAAGTATGTCTACGTGTACAGACACACATTATTTTGGGCAAAGCCATCTAAACACACCCATCTTGCATATTGATTTGTTGTTTGAATAAGGGAACATGTAGATATGAAATACGAATTCCATTAAGTATTCAGAAAATCCTTTGGTTGCCTAACACAAAATCTTTCTAATAGATATTTGGATATATCTCTGAGTATCTTTAAATGGATTTAAATTAAATGAAAGGTGTCCTAGAATTTACCCATCCTACTGGCACAGTAAGGAAAGTACCACAATTAGTGCTTCAGTATTTTTCATCTGCCTATTCTTACATGTAGGCCGAGAGCTATACTACAGATCATTTGCATTCCTATGTACTGTCTTATAAACATGTACTTATCCTACAGAGAAGCTGAACATGTTTCCTTGTTATGCGCTTATTACAGGTTCCCCATCTTTGGGGTGGTGGTGGTGGTAATAACTTTATTCTTCCATTTAGTCTGTAGATCTGGGATAGGATATTCAAGAAGAGAAATGTAGGCTCTGCTGAATTTTATGATTGGGACAGCTATTCCTAGGAAATGACACAAGAGTCCCAATTAATTCCCCAAAGGTCACGCAATCGAAAAGTCAAGAGATGGAATTGATTGAAAGTGATCAACTTGACCTAGACTTTTTCCAGTATCTGAAAGGACAAGAGGCTTTTGAGCCAAGTATTGTCTCTTGCCGAATTTAATTTTTTCATTTTGGAGATTACAAGTGGCTTTAAGATATTCATGGGAATTCATTCTTGTTTCTACTTCTACAACAAACAGAACTTTCCTAATAGTTGCTGGGCTTCAATTCTTTTTCTCATCCAAGGGCCTTTTGAAATATTTAAAATTATCAAAATATTATTGCAATTAGCAAGTCTTCTAAAAGTAAAAACTGATCCCACTGATAATATTTTTTTAAAGTTAATATTTTTGAAGGAAATTCCTCTGAGAAAATTTCCCAGAAAGTATTCTGAGCCCAATAACATATCTGAATTTTCTATCAGTTACAATCATATTCTGAAAGTTTTGGCAGAAAATTTGGGAAACAGAGAAAACACACTCATAATATTGCTACATAATATATAAACATATACACCATGGAATACTATGCAGCCATAAAAAAGGATGAGTTTGTGTCCTTTGTAGGGACATGGATGCAGCTGGAAACCATCATTCCTGTCTCTTATACACATCTAGATGTGTATAAGAGACAGATGCACATGTACCCTAGAACTTAAAGTATAATAATAATAAAAAATATATATATATATATACTTCTGTTACAGTTTATTAATTTGTTTTTCTCTATTTCTGTACAGCTGTAATTGATGTTTATATATAATTTGGTATACCAGCCTTTACAGTTAACATATTGTTTTGTTACTGTCTTTATAGCCTTTGTTACCATTATTTTAACAGTTGTATAGCATTTCAAGTAAGTTGTGTCATGATTTATTTAATCACTGCTTCTACTCCCATCCTCAATCTTAGTTTGTCCTTGAATCATTGGTTTACTTATTAAGACCAATGAAAATAACATTGGAGTCAGAGCCAAATGACTTGGACAGTGTAGCTTTGCCAAATTCCATAATCTCCTTAGCCCTGTTTCCCATCTATCATATGTGAATAACAGTGACTGGCCCCTGCCTACCCCCAAACACTTAACCTGTCTCAAGGCAAAGAAGTAAGACCTGTCCTCTATTACTTGTGATTTCCATTAAATAAATGGAATAGATAATTAAACCAGACTAATACTCTCAACTTAATAATGAAAACAATTTTTAAATGATCTTTCTAAACATAGATAAGCTATGGCAAATTGTAATTAATTACCTCTGAGTTTTATTTCCCCCAATTATTTTCAGGGTTCTGGTAGGTCCTTACTTATCTAAAGTATTTTTAGACTTGGGACCCTTTTCTTCTTTATAAGTTTTTTTTTTTTTTTTTTTTTTTAAGACAGAGTCTCGCTTTATCGCCCAGGCTGGAGTGCAGTGGCAAGATCTCGGCTCACTGCAACCTCCGCCTCCCGGGTTCAAGTGACTCTTCTGCCTCAGTCTCCCGAGTAGCTGGGATTACAGGCATGTGCCACCACACCTGGTGAATTTTCATATTTTTAGTAGGGATGGGGTTTCACCATGTTGGCCAGGCTGGCCTCGAACTCCTGACCTCAAGTGATCCGCCAGCCTCAGCCTCCCAAAGTGTTGGGATTATAGGTGTGAGTCACTGCGCCAGGCCCTTTAGAAAGTTTTGAGATGGCTTTCTGTTTAATGTCTGTAGACCAACCTGAATGTCAAGGGATTTTGTTTTTCAGACGGAACAGTAATGAAAGTATCACAATTAGCAAGCTTTCTAAAAGCAAAAACTGACCCCACTGATATTATTTTTAAAAAGTCAGTATTTTTGAAGGAAATTCCTCTGAGAGAATTTCCCAGAATGTGTTCTGAAGCTGAGAACATACCTGAATTTTCTATCAGTTACAATCATATTCTGAAGGTTTTGGTAGAGCTATCTTGGAAACAAAAGCTGAAAAAGGCAAAGGGTTGAACAGTGGACACATCTTTTAACCATACGATCTGGGAATGTCTTAGGATTGCTAGTAAGGTTGCTTTCTATAACAAGGTGCTTACTCTGTTTCTTCTCAGGCTAAAATTAACCTTTATCTTAAAATACAATCAATTATAAGATTTTGGCCAGCGTGGTGGCCCACACCTGTAATCCCAGCACTTTGGGAGGCCAAGGCGGGCGGATCACTTGAGTCCAGGAATTCAAGGCCAGCCTGGCCAACATGGCAAGACCCCATCTCTACTAAAAATATAAAAATTAGCTGGGCATGGTGGTGCATGTCTGTAATACCAGCTACTCAGGAGGCTGAGGCACAAGACTCGAATGAACCTGGGAGGTGGAGGTGGAGGTTTCAGTGAGCTGAGATTTCATCTCTGCACTCTAGGTGTCCAAGGGTGACAGAGTGAGACTCTGTCTCCAAAAAAAAAAAAAAAAATATATATATATATATATATATATATATATATATACACACACACACACATATATATATGATTTCTTTTTATTATGAAACATTTCAAATGTTGGAACATGAGTAAAAATTTGAACACATCTATTTTAGCACATATTAAACATACTGCCATATAAGCTTTGTACATGCACACACACATTTTAAATGAATGAAAGAGATGCATTTGAAATTCTGTCTGTAATCTTCCTTGATCTAATCTCTTTCCTCTGTGTCTATCTCCATCTCTGCATATAAACACTACCTTGAGTTCAGTCTTATTATTGTTGTTCCCATGCCTTTCTTTATGCTTTTGCTACATAGGCATATGTCCATAAACAGCATACAGTGTTGTTTTTCATGTTTAAAAACTTTAAATTTCCTCATAGATATAACTTACCTTATTCACGCTGCATAATTTTTAAGATTATTTCACGTTCATGCATACAGAACAATCATTTAAACTGTTGTATTGCCTTTCATTATGTGAATATACCACAATTTGTTATCAGCCCCTCTTCTCCGTGCAAGCAGTTTGAGGTACAATTTAAAGTCATAGCTTGATAATTTGTTGGCCAAGCAGAACACAGACGATGCCAGGAATCAATACTTTTATTTCTGCCTTTGTCCATGTGCCTTCGGTTATTCTACTCCTTCCTTTATATTTTGGCTTGGTCTCCTGGAAAGATTGTTAAGATGACTCGTTAACAAAAACTTCTCCACAGACATGAGTACCCACTCTGTGTTAGGGAGGAGCTAAATGTGAGCCAGACATTGGTCCACAAATAGGTGACTGTCAAGCCTATTACCATCAAATTGCATATATACATTCATATCTATAATGTAATGCCTGTGGGTTTCATATACATGCATATTTTGCTTTTTGCTTTTAAAAGACTATTAAAGTTATAAAAATTACAGTTAATAAGAATTTGGTTACCTTTGGTTATTTCCTTATTCAAATGTGCATTTTTCTTAATTTCCATAGTAATATATTTAAAAACCAAAGCACTGGAGGTCACTACAAGCTACTACATTAACAGCTCCACAGATCTTATTTACAATAAATAGCGAGGTTAGGTATTGCTAGTTTTGTAGATGTAGTGCCTATAGAATGGAAACTGTCTGCCATTCTCCTTCCAAAACAAGAAAAGGAACGAAAAAATCAATTATATCTGTTTCGCTGTCTTAATAGACAACATTGTTGTGAGCTGGTACCAACTTCCGGTGTTCCCATGCAAGCTATAATCTATGATTTGCCTCTGTAATTTCATTAATATTTAGTGACCAGAGACTTTTTGAGTGTTAACAGATACATTCTGTTAATAATTATTCTGGTGACTTCATTGTGCTTATGGTAGAAAATAGGTCCCTGAATCACATTTATTTTTTTCCTTTATGAACAACTACCAATTATTTGACTAAATCATTGTCTGTAAGCTAAATGAGTTTTCAGCCAACTAAACTGCATGTTACTAAAAAAAACTTATGTGACAAATAAATAAAGTACACATTTTAAAAAAGATCAAGGACTTGTGAGCCAAGAAATTTCAAACCAAAGATAATACGTTTTGTAAAGGTTAAAGTAGATTTTTCAATTAGAATGTAAATGGAATGCATTGTAAATGACTGCAGCTTCTCTTGTGTTTTTACTGTGATCCAGAAATGACTGTATTGATTTTTGAAGTTTTTACATTAAAAGAAAATCACTGAGACTAAATTTCATGGCTTTGTGAATTCTGGGTTAACTGATGACAGCGGAGACAGGCTGTGACTGCTGCAGCTTCTCTGCTAGTTGCTCCTTCCTATGCTGAAGAATGTTTTTAGAGCCATCTTTTATCTTTACTTAGAACAATGATGTTGTGGTTTGTTTTATTCAGATCAAGTTTTCAGAATCCGACTACTTTGGCAACGTCCTACAAACTCGCAAGTATTTAGCACAGTCTGATTTCTTCTGGCTAAGAAAAGCCGTTCCAAAAACAGAGTGAGTATTAAAAAAAAGTTAAATAGATAAATACATTGGTGAGAAGCGGAGTCTCTTTAGATTAAACTTTGTAATGCCCCTCAAGTCAGAGTAGCTGGCTTGCCAGTTAACTTGTTTTAGCAAAATCTGTGTCATGTTTTGCCAACTCTTATTTTTTATATTATGTGATTCAGATCTTAAGTCTAATTACAGGTCCCCCATTTCTAGCATCAACACATATCAAGAGAAGGCTTATTAGGATGCAAACATTAAAGTTATTTCTAGATCTAGTTATGAATATATAGAGAGGGAAAAATTTCTCTGGATTTTTACATTCATGTAGTAACTTTCGAAGATCTTAAAGAATAAATACTTTTAAAAAACCCTATGATTAGAAACGACAAAGTAAATGTATAGAAGCAACTAGAAAATATTTGTTGAGGTAATGCCTATCAAAGAACTGATAGCTATATTGTTTTTATCTAATAGCAGTTATGGTTTATTTGCCTTCCTCTCAGCTGCCTATAGGAGTTTTTCCTACAGATAGGAGGGTTTCCTTAGGTACTTTTAGGCCCAGGGCCCACCAGCTATGATTTCTTCCCTTAGCAAAATGTCAGTGATGATGACAATGATGATGGTAGCAGCTAACAATTATTATTTGTTTACATCGTACCAGAAAGTGCTTTACAATTTTTAATTCATTTTATCCTCATAGGAATTTGGCATAGTATAGATACTGTTATCCCCATTTTACAGGAAAATAAAAGGCTTACAACTGAGAAATTCTTCAGCTTAGGTTTGGATCACATTTTGTTCTGTCTGCTGCTGCTTTTGATTCCTGGGACTGGATTCTGTTGTGCTAAGGCCCACTTCTCCAATGCTTTTTTTCTCTCTGTTCTCCAGAATGGATGATGTCTATTGATCTGTTTTCAACTCCAGAATTTCTTTTTTAATTTAATTGTATTATTATTTTTAAACTTAGTTTTTATTTCAATAGGTTTTGGGGGTATTGCGGGATCTGGCCAGCAGCCCACAATGCAACGGGGCTCTCTCTTTCCAGGCGGGATCAGCAGGTCGAGAAATAATAGACACACACAAGATAGTGAAAGCTGGGTCCAGGGGGGTCACTGCCTTCTGGTCCCGCGGTGCCAACAATGCACTGGATATGCCAGCATTTATTATTAAGTTTAGTGAGGGCGGGGGTAGGTTGGTGAGGGATTTAGGGTCATTTGATTATGAGGTGAGATGGTCACATGGGGATGAAGTAATTCTTTAACGTAACATCTGTATGCAGAAGTACAGTATACAGAGGTAAGAATTTACAATATAGTGCGTGCATCAGTAATTTCTAACAGAGCCTTAAAACAGAAACACAGTCTTTCCATAACCTATGATTAGCAAGATATTAATCAGCAGTAACAGTTACAGCAAAGGCTGGTTACAAACAATTCATAGAGACAGGATGTGAAGTTAGACAACCGGTTAGACCAGAAATTCTCAGAAGGGAGTATGTCTTAATCCTAAAGAGGCCTAGAAGAGCCGCAGCAAGATGAGGGCGTTTATAGCCCTGTCTTATCCATGTGGACAGGCGCCCCCCATGCATCCATTTATAGGCTCTCCACGAGGGTCACATTCCATTCCCAGAGCTATGAACATCTGCTTTTCTGGGATAGGAATCTTGGTGATGTGAAACCTCCCTGACTACATATCCATTCACAGGCTCTCTGCAGGGGGAAGCACATCACGCACTGTTGGCTCACTCTGGCAGTCCAACCTGCCATTGTCTTTACACAATCCTGCATGCAATTTTATATTTACAATAATCAGGAGCATTTCATCTTTTATTCCATAGCAATAGTTTCAGGGGGTCTCCCTACATGGGGGAACAGGTGGTAGTTGGTTACATGAATAAGTTCTTTAGTGGTGATTTCTGAGATTTCAGTGCACCCATCACCTGAGCAGTCTACATGTACACTGTATTAGTGTGTAGTATTTTATTCCTCATCCCCCTCCCACTCCTTTCCCCAGGTCTCCAAAGTCCATTGTATCATTCTTACCCCTCTGTGTCCTCATAGCTTAGCTCCCTCTTAGGAGTGAGAACATATAATGTTTGGTTTTCTATTCCTGAGTTACATAAGATAATGGTCTCCAATTCCATCCAGATTGGTGTGAATGCCATTATTTCATTCCTTGTTATGGCTGACAACTCCAGAATTTCCATTTGTTTTTTATAGTTTCTATTTTTCTGTTGTAATTCTTTGTTAAGTCATTGTCATCATATTTTTCTATTTATTCTTTGAATAAAATTTATTTTAATTCTTTAAAGTCATCTATAATAGCCACTTTCAAGTCTTTGCTAAATCTAATATCTGGGCTCAAACTAACTGGAGTTAGTTTCTATTGATTGCTTTTTTTTTTTTTTTTTTAACAGTTTTTCCTTTGCATAACATTTTGTTGTTGTTGCTAATGACAGTTTAGATAGTATGTTGTAGCAACTCGGGATTCTGATTTATTTTTCTGGGGCTTTTTAAAGCAAACAAAAAAAAGTAACTGTCCAAACATACTGCAGAATAGATCTTCTCTGTAGTATGCAGCTGTCGATGTCTCTGCTCAGTTTTTTAACTCTTATTTGTAGGTTTTAGCCTCACTTCCTAATGGTTGTCCCTATGTCTACATAGCTCAGTGCTCAGTGATTAGGTCAGAGCTTCTGCTCAAACACCTTGAGTCTACAGGGTTTCTACCCTCTGCCAGTTGCTCTGTGTGTGGGTTGGGAGCACCTTCAAAATTACAGCCAGTTCTCAGTCCACCTTCAATTTCACCTTCCACCAGGCCCTCACTGGTCTTCCCTACACATGTGCCTAGTTTCCCAGTCAGCCAGGGATGTATGGAGTACTTATTCAGCTCTTCTATTACTATGTCAGTTACAGGATCTCTCTTTTAAATTTCTGACTGGGTTTTCCTCATTGGTTTTTTACTAAGTTGGTCATTCAAAAATTAAAAAAAAAAATTGTGGGTACCTAGTAGGTGTACAGATTTATGAGGTACATAAGATATTTCAATACAGGCATAGAATGTGTAATAACTACATCAGGGCAAATGGGGTATCCATAGCCTCAAGCATTTATCCTTTCTTTATGTTACAAACAGTCCAATTATACACTTATTGTTATTTTTAAATCTATAATAAATTGTTGACTGTAGTCACCCTGTTATGCAATCAAATACTAGATCTTATTCATTCTATCTAACTATATTTTTGTACCCATTAACCATCCCCACTTACCTCGACCCAGTACCCTTCTCAGCCTCATTCTACTTTCTGTCTCCATGAGTTCAATTGTTTTAATTTTTAGTTCCCACAAATAAGTGAGAACATGTGAAGTTTGTCTGGGGCTGGTTTATTTCACTTAATATTCTCTAGTTTCATCCATGTTGTTGTAAATGACAAGATTTCATTCTTTTTTGTGGCTTAATAGTACTCTATTTTATATATGTACCACATTTTCTTTATCCATTTGTCTGTTGATGAACACACAGGTTGCTTCTAAATCTTGGCTATTGTAAACAGTTCTACAATAAACATGGAAGAGCAGATGTCTCTTTGATATACTGCTTTTCTTTCTTTTAGGTATATACCCAGTAGTGGGATTGCTGGACTGTAAGGTAGCCCTATTTTTAGTTGTTTGAGGAACCTCCAAACTGTTCTCCATAGTGGTTGTACTAATTTACATTCCCTCTAACAGAGTATTGAGGGTTCTCTTTTCTCAGCAGCCTCACCAGAATTTGTTTCTTCCTGTCTTTTGAATAAAAGTCATTTTCACTGGAGTAAGATGATATCTCATTGTAATTTTTGATTTGCATTTATCTGATAATCATTGATGTTGTGCACCTTTTCATATACCTGTTTGCCTTTTGTATGTCTTCATTTGAGAAATGTCTATTCAGATCTTTGTGTCTATGTGTCTGTTTTTATGCCAATATCATGCTATTTTGGTTACTATAGCTCTGTAGTATAATTTGAAGTCAAGTGATGTGATTCCTCCAGTTTTGTTGTTTTTGCTTAGGATAACATTGGCTATTCTGGATCTTTTGTGGTTCCATATAAATTTTAGGATTTTTTTTTTCTATTTCTGTGAAGAATGTCATTGATACTTTGATGGGGATTACAGTGAATCTGTAGATTGCTTTTGGTACTATGGGCATTTTCACAGTATTGATTCTTCTAATCCATTAACATGGAATAGCTCTACTTTTTTGTGTCCTCTTCAATTTCTTGCATCAACGTGTTTATAGTTTTCATTGTAGAGACCTTTCACTTCTTCGGCTAAGTTTATTCCTAGGTATTTTATTTCATTTGCAGCTATTGTAAATGAGATTATTTTCTTGACTTCTTTTACAGATTACTTTCTCTTAGAATATAGAAATGCTACTGATATTTGTATGTTGATTTTGTATCCTGCAACTTTACTCAATTTGTTTATCATTTTAATAGTTTTTTGGTGGAGTCTTTAGATTTTTCCAAATATAAGATCATATTGTCTACAAACAGGGGTAATTTGACTTCTTTCTTTCTTTTCTTTTCTTTTTTTTTTTTGAGACAGAGTCTTGCTCTGTCACCCAGACTGGAGTGCAGTGGCGCACGGTCTCTGATCACTGCAAGCTCCGCCTCCCAGGTTCACGCCATTCTCCTGCCTCAGCCTCCCCAGTAGCTGGGACTACAAGCGCCTGCCACCACGCCCAGCTAATTTTTTTTTTTTTTAGTAGAGACGGGGTTTCACCGTGTTAGCCAGGATGGTCTCAATCTCCTGACCTCATGATCCACCCACCTCGGCCTCCCAAAGTGCTGGGATTACAGGCATGAGCCACTGTGCCCGGCCAACTTCTTTCTTTCTAATTTGGATGCCCCTTACTTCTTTCTGTTGTGTGATTACTCTGGCTAGGACTTCTAGTGCTATGTTGAATAACAGTGGTAAAAGTGGGCCTCCTTGTCTTGTCTAGATCTTAGAGGAAAGGCTTTCAGT